AATTCTAACTAACAAATATAAACCCTAATTAATATGGGTTGGAGTTACAATTTGAGTTATATCACAAGATATTCCTATAATTCAATTGGAGAATATATACGTTAATCAGAGTCGATCTAAATCATTCTTTTTTTTAAAAAAATTTAGAGATTGTCGATCTTCAATTCTTTGGTAAAAATGTCGGTCAACTGTATTTCACTTGAGCAATACTTTAGTTTAAATTCGCCTCGATTTACTTTTTTCTATAAGAAATGAAATATAACTTCGATGTGCTTACTCATTCCATGTAAAACTAGAATCTTCACAAGATTTCTGACTAATTTATTGTCGATTTGCAGCACTAGAGGTTTCTTCATTTCGACCTCCATCTCTTCCAAGACATATTTGATTCAAATTGTTTGATGCACAACATAGGATCCTACTATATATTCAATCTCACACGATGAAATGTCAACACATTTTGCTTTCTCGAGAACCATGAGATTAGAGTACCAAATACTTGAAAAAATAATTAATTGTGTTTCTTTAATCTTTTTTATCTCTGCATCAACCAGCATCTAAATAGCAAGTAACCATAGTTTCTTTGCTTTTAGAATCCCGTCGAAATATAATTTTAAAATTTATTGATCATTTTAAGTATCTCAGAATTTTTCTTGCATCCTTCATGCGTGACACCCTTGATTCACTCGTGTATCTGTTCACTAATCTGATTGAGAAACTTATATCAGGTCGACTGTTGCACACATATCTTAGAGATTTGATCATTTATTTAAACAAAGTTTTATCATCTTTGCATTTCTCTCCATGTTTCTCCAACTTCAAATTTGGTTCGACAGGCGAGGATGTAATAGTCGAATCTCTTGAGTATCTCTTTGACATATTTTTTTAATGTAACCATACCTTACTTCAACATTTGAAATTTTATATCTAAAAAATAAGACAAGTTTCTCATATTCGACATTTCAAATTTCCTTATTATCCACTATTTAAACTTCGACAAGTTCTTCAAGCTACTTTAAGGTACTAATGAGTCATCGAAATATAAATAGATGATTGTTATATCTTGTGCCACAACATGTCCATAAACACCATACATATATTTGTATTTAACAAATTTCAAATCGACTAAGTATGAGTCGATCTTTTTGTTCCATGCCCTAGGTGCCTGCTTCAGGCCATAGAGCAATTTCTGCAACTTATACACTTTCATTAATTTTCTTTTATCACAAATTCAAGAGGTTGTGTGATATAGACTTTTTTTGTCTAAGGGACCATTCAAAAATGCAAATTTCACATCTAAATTAAATATTAATAAGTCTTGCTTGCATGTTCATGCTACAACCAATCTGGTAGTCTCCAATATTACGACATGTGCATATACTTTAGAGTAGTCGAGTCCTACTCTCTGAAGAAATTTTCAAACTACCAATCTCGGCTTAAATCTTGCTATCGACCCATCAATATTATGCTTCAACTTGAACACGAACTTCACTTTGATAGCTTTTGTATGTGCCGACAATTCGACTAATTCTCATGTGTTGTTTCTTTTTATTTCTTATAACTCTTTAAACTTAGCAGACTTCCACTTCATATTCTTTAAAGTCTTGCTATAGTTATTGTTTTAGCACCTGAAAGTAAAGAAAATTGAACTAATTTTTCATATGGCGTGACATCATCATCACCAGCCCCTTGGTAGTCTTGAAGTCTTGCTGAAAAAACTCTAGTTCTTTTAGGTCTATGGCTTGTGCTAGCCATATCCTTTTCGACTTCGACTGTGTCGGAAATGTCAACAACTGCTTCGATTGGAATATCTGCAATAGCTTTGACTTCGACTTCATCGATTTCTTCATTGACGCCAAGGCTTATTTGGATCACCAAAATTCCAATCCCAGGAATAAATTTCATCAACAACAATATCTCGACTCATCACAATATTCTCATTGATTGGATTGAATAACATGTATGCTCTAGTTTTGTGATATCCTACTAGAATCATAGATTCACTTTTGTCATCAAGCTTCCTTCTTCTCGCATCAGAAATATGCTTGTAACAAATAGATCCAAACACCTTTATATAACTTACTAATGGTTGTTTTCTACTTCACAATTCTTCAAGAACCTTATTCTCCAGCCTCTTGAGAGGGCACATGTTCAGGATATAAACAGCAGTGGAAACAACTTCACCCCATAAGGATTTAAAAAAAAAAAATTGCTTCAGCGTGCATCTCGCCATGTCCAATATGGTCATGTTTCTTCCTTGTGCTATTTCATTATGTTGAGGTGTGTAAGGAGCAGTTACCTCATGATCAATACCATGTTTTTCACATAATTCTTCAAACAACTTTGATATATATTTACCACTTTCATTCGTTTATAGAACCTTGATCTTCTTTTCACTATGGTTTTCAGCAAGTATTTTGAATCTCTAAAAGTTTGCAAATACTTCGTCAATTCGCTTGATTACATAGATTCAAAACTTTCGACTATACTCATCACAAATGATACAAAATATCGTTTTCATCAATGGTATAAACCTCGAATGGGCCATATACATATGAACAAAATACTTCTAGTATGCAATAGGATTTTATTGGCATAGTCAAAACGAAATACTTTCTAGATATCTTTTCGACTAAGCAACCTTTACAGAGTTTGTTGGGCATCTCTAGACTTGGTATATCATTTACCATATCTTGAGAAATCAGTTGATTAAGTGATCAAAAGTTAAAATGTCCAAACCTCAAATACCACAACAAACTATGCTTGTGGTTGACAACATTTTTTAAACAATGTATTTCAGTCGAACTGATCATGGTCTTGAATATTCTATTGTTCGACAAAGGAGATTTCAAGACCAAATTATTCTAAGTGTTGAACACTTCTAAGGCTCCATCTTTCGTAATCACTGAGAAACCTTTTTCGACCAGTTGTCAAATACTTAGCAGATTGCATTTTATTCCAGGTACATAGAGTATATCTTTGATCGTAGCTTTTCCTCAATTTCTCTCTTGAAAAACTATATTGCTGGTACCTTCTGTTTGCAACGAGCTATTATCAACAAATTTGACCTTGCTCTTCTTCGACGAGTCAAAATCTGCTAATCACACTTTTCAACCAGTCATGTGATTCGAGCAACCCGAGTCGAGAAACTAGATCTTGGAGTCGGCATGGTCATATATAACTGCAATTATAACCATCATATCTTCATAATTATCTGAATCTTGACGTGCAAAGTTCGCTCCTTCCTCCTTACCTTTTTTTTGCTCCCTTCTCTTTATTGTACAAACAATTCTTGGCCAAGTAATCTCACTTTATAATAGGAGTTTCTTTCTCCGCTTTTTGAGGATTCAGAAGCCTTATCGTGGACCTTATGTTTTTGAGAGTTCGACCAAAACTTCTTCATCTGAGTCTCGTCTCCTTTGCCTTTGAACTTTTCGAAACCACCATACTTCTTCCAAGCATGAGCTTATAGTGCTTGTATCGAATCTTAAACCTCTTCTCTTTCGACAATCATAATCTCATGCACTTCCAACGAACCAACCAAATCTTTCAGCTTCAGGGTTTCAAGATTGTTAGATTCTTAAAGTGATCAAAGTGAGAGTTCAACGTACACATTATCTTCTGCACCTTTGACACATAGCCTGCAATGTTTTCATCTTCTCCCATCTACAGCAGTTCATTCCACCGTCATAAAGTCTACAATTTGAGGACTTTGACTTTCACCTCCTTCATACTCTTGATAAAAATATTTCATGCCTCATTCGTCGACTCAGCATGAGAGATCTTGTCAAAATTCGCTGAATCTACCGCCGATTGAGTGCAATACGTGGTCTTGCAGTCTTTCTTCTTCGCCTCCTTGTTTGTGACTCTCTAAGCATCCGTTGCATTCTCAACAAGTTTAGGGACGCCATTAGTAACCACTTCTAGGGTTTAATGAAAGTCGAACAAGGACTTCATCTGCTTGCTCTATCAGTTCTAATTTTTTCCGTCAAGCATTGAAAGAGAATTCGGAATACCATTAGTAGCATTCACCTTTATAGCAATTGATTAACAACCCATGATCCTGAAAACACAATCACTAACGTGTGATTCTTAAAAACACGATCAAGAATCTAACTGAATCTTGAGATACTAAATTATTAGTGTGTGAGACATTTTTAGTGAAAAGAAAAAGAAAAAAAAGAGAATGAAGAATAAAGATTGTGATTGCTATGTTCGACCATAGGAATAAGCTCCTCTTCTCTGCCTCAGAAAGATTTTGAACGAAAGACATATCTGACGTTGACATTACAATGACAGTCTCCTCTGAATCGCAGGTAAGTCGGAACAAAAAATGTCGTGCAGGGAGTTATCTATGAATCCGTTTAAAATAACCTTCTTTTTGAAAGAGGATTAATCATATCATCACAACTTCTTTTTATTTATAAAAAAAAACTAAAGTGAGTGCAATAGATGTTGAGGCTCTTACGGTGGCGTTTTTAGGCTTTATGGTTTCTTTTGCAAATTATTTGAGACTGATATTAGTGTTTCTGATTACATTATTGTTTGAATATTCTGGTGTCATGTTTGTTATTTGAGCAAGCACAATTTTGAGAGTGTCACAATTTAGATTTTACTTTTGTTGTTCTGACTTACTACTTGGTTCCTTGGAAGCTTAGTAAAAATTTGCATGATTGTCTAGGTTTAACCCTATCTATGAATTTCAAAATTTTGTATATTCACTTGAAATACTTGTACTATGTTCAAGTATCTATTAAAAAGGATGGTTCTGTACTTCCAAATCAACTTTAAAAAACACATTTATTATGTACAATCATTATAAATATAGCTATTATGAAGAGATGTTATGCGGAAGAAAAGAAAAACTAAGCTATGATTTCATTCTACAACCTCTTTCTTGCTCAAACAAATAGAACTAGAGCAAGACACTCGCTCATCCAAAAGAGAATTTTAAAAAAGTTAATAAACACTGTATTTCAGTTATCAAAAGGTTTTGTACATTACGATGGATGATAAGCTTTTTCATTTTCAATTGAGGAACTTGACATGTTCATTGTTGCAGCAATGGCACAATGATGCAGATCAGCCAAGGAAAAAAAATTCCTTTGCAAAGGAGATGCTAAAGAAGACACTCTATTCCGCGGATGAAGCGGTGGAAGTGATGAAGAATTTGAGGTTGAAGATGCAGAATCATCACTTGTAATACTAGAACTGCTATCAGAATTGGTCATTGCAACTGCAAGAGCTAAAGTACTTCTACTTAAGCTCATTGTTCTCTTCGAAATTCCACCACCATTGCTTCTCAAAGGATAATTTTTGTTTTTGTCCCAAACATGGTTATACGCCATCAAATTCCTCCGTCTCCTTGTGTACGCATTCTCTGGTTTCACTATGTCTTTTACAGATGGTGTTGTGACAACATCAGCTAGGCTTGTGAAGGATTTAGACTTGCCATTATAGAAGCTTGAGATACCTCTCCTGCATTACCATAAAAGTTCGGATTAGCCTCTAAACAAAGTCCAAACCTCTTGAACAAACAACGTCTGAAACCTCTAAAGAGGTGTCTGGTGTCCAATATATTATCTTTTTCAAAGAATTATCAGTGTCAACCTATCTCTGTCGCGTGTAGTAACAGGTGATGTATCTACATCCGTGCTTCATAGGTGTAAGTGTTCCATAGATAGCTAAATAAAGAGTTTTAACAAAAATATAGTGCAGTCTTGATTTGCTTCATAGGTGTAAGTGTTCCATAGATAGCTAACTTAAGAGTTTCAACAAAAATATAGTGCAGTCTTGATTTCGTGAAACTCGCCGCGATTATAAACATGCATCAAGCTAAGTTTAAATTTGCAAATATCATCAACCAAAAGTAAGAAGGGCCATATTCAAATTTAGTTTTCAATCCAATTCAAAAAATTATCCAAAACCATGCTCTTTTATTCAAAACCAAATTTTCTTCAAAGAATTATCAGTGTCGACTTATTCAAAACCAAATTTTCTTCTATCTAAAACCTTGTTTGAAGATAACAAAATGGTTTAAACATGCTTAATCTAATGGTTGAATTGAACCAATATCAAATCATCAAAATCTTACTATATTTAGCAAGAATCCATTCAGTACAATATACATAACTGAATTAATGCAACAAGACAATAAAGACAAAAAAGCTTGAGATCACATCATCAAACATACCCTACAATCACCAAATTTCATTTCTCAAAGTTTTAATTTTTCATCAAAAAAAATAAACTCATGAAATTAATCCAACAATAATTACCCTAGTTTAGCTAAATTCCAAATCAAAATGCAACTTTAAAACCCTAAAAGAACTAAGAAAAAATAAATACTAAATTAAACTAAGATCATACAAAATAAAAAGATAAAACGCACGGATCTATTAGCAAATTAAAAATTAAAAAAAAATGTTAATCGTTACCTAATAGGAAGAGCCTCTTCCAAAGCTTCCATATCGTGCAAAGCCCCACCATTATAAGCACTTTCCGCTTCATTTTCATTCTCAACCGTTGATCTCTCCGACGACACGTCATCATCACTATTCCTTCCGATCGACGAAGACGACGTCGTACTGCAAACCTCGTCCACCTCCTTTCTAACATCAAAATCCCCCGGCGCGTCGAATAACACAGAAGTGCGTGACGTCACGCGCGGAAACGACACCGTTTCAATCCCCATGTTTAATCAACTCAAGAAACACAGCGAAGAAAGAAAGTATAAAGAGGAGAAAGAAAAAAAAGATAGATACGAGTTATGAAACGGTAATAGCGTTATTTATGGATTCGTTAGAATATTTATAATTTTGGCAAAGAAAACAAAAATAATAATTATTACATGTGTTTTTTATTGTTAAAAAGTTTGGGTGGATAAGTATCTATCATCTACATAGTACTATTATTATTTTGGTCTTATCCTCTTTCAATTTTTTTTTTTTTGGTTACGTTATCCTTTATGCTTCATTGGATGCTAAAAAAAAAGAGAGTTTTATAAAAATAATAAAAATGAGCTGTGATCTAGTGTTTCTTCAACCACTTGATAAGCTTTGCTAATATAACAGACTAGACTAGTTCAATCTTCTTTAAAAAGCTCATTTATTTTCGAAACAATATTTCTAATTTTTTTTTACTAAATATTAAATTGCCAAGATTTCACTTTTAAAAATGAATAAATAAGATCTGTGAATTTAATTCACTTCTCTGTCGTTATTAGCTGTCATTAAGCTGAGTTAGATAAACATAATTTTTAATTAATTTTATTATTAAATGTAATAGTTAAATTAAACTTCAAAATATATATCTTGTGAGAGATTATATTTGTTTGTTTTTAACTTCAAAAATAATAATTATTTATATTTGTGAGAGATTATATTATATTTGTCAAAATGGGTCAAGTCAATAAGCCTTAAATTTTAGTACGGATCGGACTATAAAAAGATATTAAAAAAATACAACTCTATCTTTTTAGGTCAGCCTATCTGACCGATGTTTTTTATGATTCGGGCCGGGTCAACCAAGCAAGCTTCGGGTTGGTCCGTTAAAAATATTAAAAAATACTAATTTATTTTGATAAAAAAAAATAAAAAAACTGTTTTTGTTAATTTTGAGGAGAAATTGGGCTAAAATATGTTTTTGTTAATTTTAAGGTTAAATGTGTGTAATAGATGGAATGTCACATATAAGATGTTTGAAAGTGCTATTAGATATCCGCGTACATTCATTAGCTTGAGTTATAATAATAAAAAATACAAGATTTGTCCAAGTATTGAAGAGTGGGATAGAGCAGAGAACATTTGTAATTCCTTGACTCCATTTTATAATATTACTAACTTAATTTCTAGATCATCTTACCCAATCTAAAACTTACACTTCATGCAAGTTGGACTTATAGAGATGGAATTGAATAGAAGTTTGAAAAGTCAAGTTGATGTGATCAAAGATATGGCTAAGGAGATGTAGGAAAAGTTTGAAAAATATTGGAGTGAATATTTCGTTACTCTTGCACTTGGAAATGTTCTTGACCCAACATAAAAGTTAGACTTTTTGAACTTTTGTTTTAAGAAACTTGATCCAAGTGGCTACAAAGACAAGGTAAAGAAAGTGAAGGATGGTTTATATGATCTCTTTGGTGCATATCAAAATAATATGGTTACAACAAGCTCATCAAGAAATTCTCAATCTCACTCTTTTAGCCAACCATTGGGCAAGACGTCATTTTTGAATGTAAGTTTCAATAATAAAATTTATACCCATTGCATTACTTTATTTTTCTGTTCAAGTCTAGGTTAAATAGTTTTTTGTATGTCTAGTTTTAGGAATACCGTCAAGAAAAGATACAAAAGATTTCAAATGATGGCAAGTCCGAACTTGAAATATACCTGAATGAAAAATGTTTGGATGATAACGTAGATATTCTTCAATATGGGAAATTAAATAGTGTTCGATTTCCTCAACTTCCTATAATGGCTTGTAAAATTTTAAGCATTACAATCACAACAGTGACTTATAAATCTTCTTTTAGCATTGGAGGTCATATTTTGCATAAGTATAGGAATTGTTTACTCCCTTAAACGTTGCAAGCATTAATTTGTACACATAATTGGTTGTGTTGGTTGCGTGATTTTAAAGATGTTGGACCTTCGGGTGAGTTTTAAATTGTAATTAATAGTCTTTGTATTTTATTTTCAATTTACATTTGTTTTTAAGTTATTGAGTCGTCAGTTAAGTTGTAACATTAACAAGGACATGCATGCACCGCAAGGTGGTAGTTTAATGTTCATCTACTACATTAATCTTAACCATGGAACTGTTTGACTCAGTGGAGTTTACAAACCTCAGACTCTGATGTTACTAAGAAGACTGAATTACTTTTTCTTGAGATTAGTTCTAGTATGATGTCTATAGAACTCTGCTTTGGACTATTAGACTCATGGGGAGCTTACAAACCTCATACCCTGATGTTGCAATGAAAATTATAATTGTCCAACATTGTCCTTTAAATACTTGTGTTTATCATCGTCAAAAAGGAGGAGATTGTTAGAAAAATATTTGTTCATGACATATTTTCCTTGGATTTTGATGATAACAAAGTATTGAAAGAACAATGGTTTAATTGTGTGTTACATATGTCTAGGTTCTAATACTTGTAAATATTATGGTCAGAATCTGTTTTACATTAAGCACAATTTGAGAGTTGCTAAATTACTAGCTTTTGGTGGCAGAATCTGAAGAACACTTGCTAAGTGATGTCTGGCGAAGACTCTGAAGCTGATGGCCTCAGTATCAGAAGAAGAAACATTATTGTCTCTACACTTAGTGAATATAAATTGGTCTCTGATACCATTCAGAGTTGGTGATAAAGTCGAAGCTATCCATATTCCAGAAAGCAAGATGTATTGTCAAATCGATTTGTCAGCTAGAGTTTACAGATTGCAAGACTCAAGAAAAGCTGAGATGTTTTATGGATATCTACTCTCAACGACTATATTAGTACAAAATCTCTTGAAGACTCAAAGGTTAAACATGTTACACATTGGATAAAGATCTTCTGGTGTATTTATCTTCAACGGCTCTTGTACTATGGAGTAACAACAAAGACTCTTTATCAAGTTACCTCTTCAACAGCTAGTTTCCGAAAAGGATATAAATAAAGGTTCAAACTGAATTTTTAACAAGGATCAACTAGAAGAAGGAGTAACAAGATCAACAATTATCAACTCATTGTATATGCATTTTTTTTATGTAGGTTGTAATTGTAAAAGCCTTAAGATTTCTTACACATTAAATATCTTATAAATCTTAAGAGCTTTAGGTATTTTTTATGGTGATTTCCCGTACCTCTGATACTTGTATCATGTACACCTTGTTCTCTATTCTGCTGAACTTGTTCATCATTTTAGATTAAAAAAAGTCTTGTGTCATTGGGATACAAGCAAGGAAGTCTCAAGCCAAGATGCTTGAGCCACATAAGTCTATTACTACATGCTTGAGATGTAAAAGTCTTAATCAAGTGGATTGATTGAGCATAACTCTTGTATCATTGGGATACAAGCAAGGAAGTCTCGAGCCAAGATGCTTGACCCACATAAGTATCTTGCTAAGAGCTTGAGCAGTGAAAGTCTTAATCAAGTAGATTGATTGAGCAGTAAAGTGTTGAGCCAGTGTGGCTTGAGCATGATAGTTCGATGCTTGAAATTATGAGCAGTAAGTCTTGACCAGTGGGATGCAAACAGAGAAAGACTTCTTTCATGTGACCCGAGGCTGAAGTCTTGGGCCTGAGGGCTTGAGTAGGAATGCTCAATGCATAGAATTTGGAGCATTAAGTCTTGACCAGTTGGGTGCAAGCAGAGAGGCTTGTTTCATGTGACTAGGAGCAGAAGTCTTGGGTGTGGAGTCTGAGAAAGGAAGTTTTGGGTTTGGAACCTGAGCAAGAAGTCTCGAGTGAGGAGCTTGAGCAGAAGTCTTAGACCTTGGGTCTGAGCAGGTATAAAAGTCTTATGTAGAATGCATAAGCGATTGTAATCATAGTTTGATTAGTGAAATTTTCTTGTGAGACAAGAGGATTGGACTACTCTCAGTTAGGGGAGGAACCGGTATAAATCTTTGTGTCTTCTACTATTATTTATTTGCTTCTGTTAACATTTCGTTGATAATAATTAACCAGAATCTGAACACCATTTTAAATTCTGAACTCTGGTCAGATGCAAACTAAAAAAACAAAAAATATATTTAACCTTCATTTCTTGTGTAGTTTTCTCACCTTCAAGCATAAGTACTCAAGCAACCATCAATTTCTCATGGTCAACTTGAAGTTTTAAGTCAACTATTAGACCTTTTGCTTGAAAATTAAGTTTTCATCCTCAATGAGTTTGTTTATATGGTAAATATCGGTAAAACATATTCTTGGAATAATAACTCGGTTGTTTTTCTATAAAATTTGAGAGATCGTTAAGCAACAGTGCACAAAGTACAATGATACAAACTTTATGTGACAAAAGATACAACATTGTGTGTGACAATACCAACTACAAGTGTAAATGACTCAAATTAACCAATTGCAAATAGTACAAAGACTACGACAACTTATTTATCAGAGGTAAAACAACATAGCTTTTTACTGCTTTATCCCTTCTTGAAATTTATATATCAAAATACTTCATTTTTAAAAAAATTACTCAAATGCCCTAATGTCAGTACATGCTCGTCCATTAAATTGGCGAGCAGATGAAGAAAATGCGTGCATGAAGGTGTTCGTCGATTGGGTTGGCGAGCACCTGAATATGAAACAATGAAAGAAAAAAAATTAAAATACTGAGGTGTTCGTCAACCCAGTGGACGAACACCTTCATGCACGCATTTCCTTCATCTGCTCGTCAATATAATGAACGAGCACGTATTGACATTAGGACAGGGTAATTTTTTTAAAAGAATAAAATATTTAATATATAAATTTCAAGAAGGGGTAAAACAGTAAAAAAATCAAATCATATAAAGATTTAATTTCTCAATATTTTATTCCTCAATAATTGGAACAGCATCTCTCGCAAATAAACTTCAAGAGAATCAATTTGAGAAGAAAAGAAAATAATTTTCAATGAAAAACATCCAACGAAAAATCTCTATTAAAAGAAAGAAACAAACAAGTAATTTTATTATATATATTTTATGTTGAAAGATTCAAACGCTCATGTTTATCCTTAGATTTGTTTATATTCTCTATTAAAGAATATTTGTAAACACTATCAATTACAATATTTGTTTATTTGATTGTATTTTTTCAAAAGGTCAAATATTAATGTTGAAATTCGAAAACTGTAAGAAAGTTGTTACTCGGGAAGCATGTCAGAAAATGTTGCATCATATACTTTTAATTTGGTATATGTCACATATTTAATCTTAGTACGTTGAATACGGATGACGTGGCAATGAGGATATGTGTAACATGTGTGGTGGCTGTCTGGTGAAGCTTATCCACAAGAGAAAAAGTAGAATATGGGACCTACTCTACGAAACAAACATTCAATGCCAACCTTCTTATCCTATGACATTATCTTTGTTAATTTTGTCCTTTCACTCACCCAACTTTGAACTTAGACTTTAAATTTAACCTCACAAATCTGACCCATATAAATAAGTTATGAAATGAAAAAAAATACATATTTTTAAGGCTAATGATTAGTAATTGAAGACTATCTTGATCTAAATCTTTCTGCTCCCTTATCTCCTACTCTTGAATCATGTCACATCTCCAATTGGAATCCAATAAGTGTTTGCCTTTGGAGATAAGGTTATTAATTACTACTACTTCCTAGACTCATTATAGAACTTGCATGTACACGTATATCCTTTGTAGGACGTCCTCTTTAAAAGAACAAAACAATAATATAATGATGTTGCATAAAATTTCCAGTTTCCATAATAACCATGGAAATTCAACATATATATTATTCACCTAAATTCAAGATTTAACCAAATATGAGGAACACTGCAGCAATCATCTAATACATAAAATCGTATGTGAATTGCCAATGAAGAAGTTTAATCACAAGATCTCACCAGAACTTTAATCACAAGATCTCAGAACAAGAAATTGGTATGTGAATTGCCAATGAAGAAGTTTGTGTTTTTATGAACTTTGCAATTCAATAACCACAATAACTCTATGACAGCAGCCAAGTTAATAAGAGCCAAGAGTCAAACTTCACACACACCAACTGTAACAACTTAGAAAACAAGTTTGATGACATCAACCGTTAATAAACTTAAAGTAGAAACTATACAGCCATCACTTTTCCAACAGCAAAAATCATAGAGCAACAGGGGAATAGCATGATTATTTGTTTGGAAAACAAAAGCAGTAATGCAGGTATATCCAATGATCAGCAGAAAACCTTAGATCTAGATTGAGGCTATCAAGTCATGGCAAAATGATTCTCAACAGAATGTTGACACAAGCCTTCCCATAAAATGGCCAATGATACTAACAAGCTAATCATGGCAGATCCTCAAAACAACATGACAAGGGCCTACATATTATGCTTAAAACAGTTGACAGTGGCACCAAATAAAGGTTATGTTAACAAACAAAGATATCAACACAAGAACTGGATAGATCCCACCATTGTAATAACAAACCTATGCACCTTACTAAATGCTAGACTAATCCAAAAAACACTAAGTTGAGGTTCACAAACAACAAGCAACAATGCTAAGATCAGAGCACTAAATCTAGGCCTGAAGTCAGCTCTAAGGAAACAAACTACATTAGGTGAAAACAAAACAGGCCTGTAGCACTTCAAGCAGAAGAGTCAGCAGACTCAGTGGTAGGTCAATATGGATTGACAGATCCAAACTTCCTAGCAGCAGCTTTAAGCAAGACTCTAAAGGTAGTCATCAATCAAACCCTAATGGCAGCCACAAAGCAGGTTCTAACTAAGCTAGACAGATCCAGAAACATGAACAAGGTCAAGCCTCCAAAAGAGAAACACTTTCATATACATTCACACTTCAAGGATATTTTGTGCAACAATATTACTCCAAATAGAATGCAGACTTGTTCTTAATGTCATTT